GTTTGGTGGAGAAGCCCAATGAAAAGCCCATGTCCAAGTTGTTGGGTTTAATTTGTAGGACTTTTCTTTCACCCCGATCCAACACACAAAAGGGTACCAATTTTGATTTTTGCTCTGGGAAGGGGGTAAATGCGTAATTCTACCATCTATTCCAATCAGGCGGCGGTACAAAAGCTACTGTTTTTTTTTTTCTTTTTCCTACGTTTGATGGTTGGCCCTGTAGTTGCTCTAAATCACAGGAATGCCCTTCTCCCTCTTTGACCAACTCCAGTTGCTATTGGTGAAGTTAGAGCAGAGAAGGGGGAGGCGGTGGCGTACCCACTACACAAGAATCGGCAATAGAAAAATCGGAAAAGGGAGAAAGTGGTAGCATCAATTATGATTAATTAAGTAAAGGTTTTCGAAAGAAAAAGGACGCAAGGAGCCAAGCAGGAGGTAAAGTAGGAACCACAATTTGGAATGCTCTAAACGTCACGCTTCTCGACCAACGCCATTCCATTTTTCTTCACTAAATTCAATGTGCCCCTCTTCGAACTTTTCCTCTTTTCCCATCATTTTAAAAACTTCACCCAACAATTCCATCACAAAGTCAAAAAGTGTTCGCTATTCATCCTCCACACCCCCCTTCTGGGTAGGGTTTTCTTTTCGCTCTTCCTTCCATTTTCCCACCTTCCGGACGTCGATTCATTTCTAAAACTCTACTCCCATCTCGCGATTCTTCTTTTTTCTTATTTCAGTTTTGTGGTATTTGATTTCTGATACACTTCTTAGTTTTGCTGGGTTTTGTTTGTTTTGAGCTCTTCGATGACTTGAAACCCGTGCCGTTGATCGGCTGAAGTTTTTGACGCCTTTGGATCGAGGAACTGCTCGGGAGTTTTAGGGAACTGGGTCCGAGTTATTTTGATAGAATTTCAAGACCTTCTTCTTCTTCTTCACTGCTTTTCTAATTTTCTTATTCAACTGGAGCTGCTGGGGTGCTGGTGATGATGATGATGGTGATTGATGGGTAGTAGAACAGTGAAGATTGGTGCAGACGATATAACCAATGCCGTGAACGGGATGCCTAGCTTCGTTTCTTCAATGCCCACACCCAATAATTCCGTGTAACTTTCAAGTACTCTGTTCAGTTTATTGTTTGAATTCAATTCTGCTGTACATGTACTTTTTTTTTTTTTTTTTTTTTTGCGAGTGTTTCTNTTTTTTTTTTTTTTTTTTTTTATGCGAGTGTTTCTGCTTGTATCAACTTCACAATGCTTCTCAAGAACATCTGCCTTAAGTATAAGTACGTTTAATTGTTCTAAGAATATGTGACTTGGAGCATCTCTGAACTTTATTGAAGGAAATATAATGCTGTACTGTGTCTTAGCATATTCATCTCTTCAGTTAAATCCTTAGTTGAATGACTTATTTTCTTGGTCAATTCACATCCTTGAGTTCAAGAAGTTACAAGTTTGTGGATGCATTGTTATGTTTTGATGCATTCCTTAATTTCCTCTTCCCTGCTGGGATCTTTTGTACACCTTTTTGCATTATCGTTTGAGTTTTTTTTTTTTTCACTGTGATGGTCTTTTTCTCTGTGATTTTCAGGGGTGCAGAGGGAAGCTCTATTCCGTCGTCTCGGATCTCAGACTTGAGAACACTTGAGCAAACTCTTGGATTTCACATAGAAGATGTAGACCTTTCTAGAAGTATGTGTTATTAGGAAGTAGTTTCAGTGGTCATCTGTTTATCTCTTTTTCACTCTCGATTTTGCATTATTGAGTACACAATCAGAGCATGCTGAATCTCCTCTTCTCTGTTCTTCTTCTACTAATATTTTTTTTTACCAAATGTACTTGCTCTAGATCCTTTGTATAATCAGATAAAGGCGAATAGTTCAGCTCTGAACAACGTCCAGTTTGGTTCTTTAATTAAGGTGCTGTTTTATCTGTTCCCGTTTTTTTATTTTTCAATAGAGATTTATTAGGCTTTGCTTTGCACTTATATTTGATGATAATTAACATCCCCCCATAATGGAATTCAGACACTTGTATCCACTGATGTAAATTTGCCAACTGCTATCATGGGGTCTCAAACGTTGCCATTACAGAAAGAATCAAATCCAAATTTGGTTTCTACATCTAGCGGTCCTCGTGAAAACTGGGGAGAGTCTAACGTGGCAGATACGAGCACAAGAACTGATTCCTCTACAGATGACGATGACAAAAGTCAAAGGGTAAAGTCCCTGGAGTATGTTATCAGATTAGTTTTACATGATTCATTTTTGGAGATTTTCTGGTTTATTTTGTTTAAAGATCAATGTATACAACTTACCTGATGTCAATATTATAATTTGAAGGATTGATTAAATAGAGCAGCTAGATGACAGTACACATACTCTTGTTCTTATTCTTTTCACCATCTCCCTTCTCGTGAGCTGTGCGGGAGGACATGGGATATGTGTGTTGAATATTTTCATCGTCACAAGTAATAGTGTCTATCTTTCTGTTTAGTGTTCTTGGGAGGTAAGCTTATGTCCTTTTGTCTTCTGTAGCTTGACAAAGATCAAGGAAACTCACTTATGGCATATGATTCTAACAACAAGTTGAAGGAAAAAACAGCAGATCAGAAGGTTATATTTTAAACTGAAATATCTTTACATTCTTATCTGAACATGTTGATGGATAAATAGGAGCTCGTTCAATCAAATAATATGTTGTTTGACATCCCTTTCAGACCTTACGAAGGCTGGCCCAAAATCGTGAAGCTGCTAGAAAAAGTCGTTTAAGGAAAAAGGTAAGCTTCCATTATCATTGATTTCTATTTCTACTAATTATCTAAAAATTGTAATCCATGTAGTATCAAACAAGCTGTACCTTTTCTGAAGAATTTGGCTTCAATGATGGTTGCAGATTGTTGTGCTTTATAACTGATATTGACTTTTAGTTGCTTAGAAATGTTCAGCGAGTTTGATCATATTATGCTATGAATCTCAATAATATTTCTTTATCACTTTACATCCTTTTCATAGGCATATGTGCAGCAGCTAGAAAGTAGCAGGCTGAAGCTTACTCAGCTCGAGCAAGAACTTCAGCGAGCCCGTCAGCAGGTTGAGTTATCTATATTTTTGTGCTTGGTCATCATAGTACATAATCTTTCCAATTTAGTTGGAAAGTTCTGAGTTGCATGCTTTTACTTAAATCTTCCACCACAATTTATGCAGGGTATCTTCATTTCAAGTTCTGGAGACCAAGCTCATTCCATGAGTGGAAATGGTATTCAAGCCTTTTCAGTTAGCATTTTATGCACGTGACTTTTTTAACATATCAGTTGTTGAGTTATCCTGCTGCGTTTGTTCTCAATTCATCATGAGTTGAATGTCATTCTTGATAATTTATAAGGTTTTGATATGAATGACTTTTTTACAATATTCAAAGTCATGAATTTGTCTTCGTAGGGTGTGTTTAAACATTTTTTGATTCACTGTCATATGTTTTCTTGTTTGTGTTTGTAGGTGCACTAGCATTTGATGTAGAATATTCACGTTGGTTAGAGGAGCATAACAGGCTGATAAATGAGCTTAGAGCGGCAGTTAATTCACACGCGGGTGACACTGAACTGCGAACGGTTGTTGATAATGTGACTGCACAGTTCGATGATATTTTCAGGTTGAAAGGCATTGCAGCCAAAGCTGATGTGTTCCACATCTTGTCAGGAATGTGGAAGACACCAGCAGAGCGGTGTTTCCTGTGGATTGGTGGCTTCCGTTCATCTGAGATCCTAAAGGTAAGAAATTATGTAGGTGGTAAGCATATGAAAGTAGAGGAAGAAAACATTTATAGGTTGGTGCTTACATGAAGTTAATGCAGCTTCTTGTAAGCCAATTGGAGCCTTTGACCGAGCAGCAAGTAGCGGAAATCTGCAACCTGCAACAATTATCACAACAGGCAGAAGATGCTCTCTCACAAGGAATGGATGCATTGCAGCAATCCTTGGCTGAAACGTTGGCCAGTGGCACGCCTGCTACGTCGGGGTCATCAGGTAATGTGGCTAATTATATGGGTCAAATGGCCATGGCAATGGGAAAGCTTGGAACTCTTGATGGCTTCCTACGCCAGGTAATTTGGTTTTATATTTTATGTCACTCTGTTCCATCTTGTTACATTTATACCTTGCTTATGCAACGAACAAGTAAAGTTGAAATCTTTGTCCATGTTTTCTCACTTTCATTTTTCCTTCTCTTTCTATAACTTGCAGGCCGATAATCTTCGTCAACAAACACTTCAACAAATGCATCGCATATTGACAACCCGTCAATCGGCTCGTGCGCTTCTTGCAATAAACGACTACTTCTCCCGCCTTCGAGCTCTAAGCTCTCTCTGGCTTGCACGGCCACGAGAGTGAAAGGGGCATGGGAGTTATCTCTAGTTAATCTGTCAAATTTATCAAACAAGTGCCTTAAAGTGTGCGACCACACAGAATTGCACTGCTTCATTGGATGAAGCTGCTTCTGTCATAGGAATTGTACAATGGATGAAGATGAGTAATGGTGGTGTAGGGTGAAGTTTGTGATTGATATATACATATATATAGCTTTCACATTTTCAGTTGTTCAGTGTCGGTTGGTGATATTGTATGGCTTATTACAATAATCTTTTCAGGTGATGTTTCACAGAACTGAATGGGAAAATAGGTTGTATTGTAACTTACATTTGTATTACATCAGCCTACACCAGGGATCATATTATAATTTATTTTCAAATAATATTCTTTGAGTAAGTAAACCATTTTGAGTTTACTGCAAAACCAGAGTGTTCTTGGTGATAATGGGTATTCGAACAAACAAAATATGTTGTAAAACACGTGCAGCACAATCCATTATGTAGTTCTGTTTGTCCTGACAGGTATGCTGATGTCAAATTTCAAAGCGCAGCCATCAGATTAACTAACAAATACTTGATTTGTAAAATAGAGTTGAAATCCCAGGAGTTTATACATTCCCAAGTATCAAATTAAATTCCTCAGTCAAGTAAATCCGACACTGCTGTCTTCCTGAATGCATCGATTTGGGCTAATTTTCCTGCCAAAGCTTTGTTTGGAAACACATTATCTGCCTTCATTCTCTCTTTCATGCCGTAGGCTGGAGCCTTGGCATTAATGTATGCCTGTATTAGAGCTTGAAACTGGCTGAATCTAGCCACGTAACCTGATAGTCTCATCCTATGAAACATTTTCTCTGCATTGTGGACGTCACCCCTCCTTGCATACTGATCCAGGATAACCATGTAAGAGGTAAACAATGGCTTCATCTGGTTTTTCTGGACTGCCTTCTGCAAGAAAGAATCTGCCTTTTCTACCTCCCCAGCTTCCACATAGAGTTTCACAACTGCATCCCATGTTAATGGACCGATTCGGCAACCGCTGTCTGCCATCTGCTTGACTAGATCCTTGCCCTTCGTCAGCATCTTATTGTCTGCATAGACCTTCAACATGGTAGAGTATTGTTTCGAGGAAAGCTTCTTCCATGTTTTTAAAACTCTATCAAAAATTTCCTCTGCTTCTTGGACGTTCTTCAGCTTTCCCCATGCAACAATGGCAGCCATGCATTC